AAAAAAAAAAAAAATGAATAATGCCCAAATAATCTATTGAGAGGTTTTTGCCTTAGGGCATTGTGTGCTCACTGGAGAGAGAGAGACAGAGAGACACTGGGAGAGAAAATTATACATCACCCCCTAGAGAGAATGGCCATGCCGCAATTCCTTTTCCTCTGTTATCCTTCCAGGATCTTGGGCATACGTGACCAGTGTGAGTTTCAAGGCTCCAGGTTCAGGACTCGAACTGCAGTCAGATGGTAGTCCAGTAATGTAACTGCTATTCCATCTGCTGATCCCACCTAAATAGTTTTTTAAACTTTCATATTGATATGTGTATTTTCTTTTTATTTTAAATTTTTTGGTTAGGTTTTTGTCATAGGGCATGTACACTCACCAGAAAAAGACAGAGAGACACAGAGAGAGGGAAGGTGAGAAATCAGCCTTAAAGGGGATGGCCACACCACAGTCCCTTTTCCACTTTCCTCTTAGATGTTAGGCATGCATACATATGTGCCTGGTGTGATTTCAAAGCTGCTGGGTCCTGGACTCAAACCACATTTGCCATGTGGGAATTGAATTCCTTACTCACCTTGCCACTTGCTGGCCCTTAATAATTGTCTTTAACTGTTGGAGGGTAAGTGTGGTTACCAGAGAGGGAGAAAGAGAAAAAGACCCCAATGGGGCATAGTTATGCCGCAATTTCTTTTCTTCCATTTCTCCATCTCATCAGGATTTGGGGCATGCATGTACCTGGTATTATTTTCAAGCCACTGTGACTGAAATGCGAGCTATGGTGGGCCATGTGGTATCCAGCTCCCAGTGCACAGTGCTTTACCATTGCACTACAGGGTCAACCCCATTTATTTTTTCTGAGAAAGGGTCAGAGACAGACAGCCGTCCTTAACAGGATCTTCACATTGTGATCCACCCACAGTTGTAGCCAACTCAGAGTGTGGGCATTCACATGTGCACCTGGCTTGCTCCAAGAGATTCTGTGATGTGAACCCAGGACCTTCTCATTGTTGGTCTAGTTTCATTACTGCTGCCCCACCACGTGACCCCTATTTTCTTTAGAATTTCCATGGAGGAAGGAAAAATCTTTTTAAAATAAAGGCGTCTTAGGACACCTCAGACAATTGAAAACTTTAGAGAGATTGATAAAAAAATGATTTTTATACTATTGTCTACTTCAAACCTAAGGAAAAATGGATAAAGAAATTATACTTTAAAGTTTTAAGAGCCAAAAGGTTTATTTCCAACTTCTCTGTTAACTTTTCTCTTTGGGGTTTGATACTTCGTTGTATTTTTTAAGACAATAAACCATCCATTTGATGGGACAGTGCTCCCCTATCACCCTTGAAATTATTTTTCCTACTCTCTGATTTAACTTGATATTCCAGTTGATCCTTTAGGTTTTTATATCTAATTTATTTTTATTTTCTGCACAGTTTTGGGGGAATTTTATATATTTTCAATGTGTTCTAACTTGATTATAATTACTCATGTTTTAATTTAGCAGAGTTTATTTGTTTGGGGGTAGGGAGATGTTTACTGCAACTGATATAGAGGTTTGAGAAGAAAGAGAGGACTTTTAAAATTCTTATCCATAAACACTTAGCTGCTAGAAAAGTAGTTTCTAATTTAAGAAAACAACTAATCATTTTTTCCTCTTAAAATGGTTTCCTAGGAAACCAGCATACATACTCACAGCGAAACATAAAACAGTATAAACCAGTGGGAAAATAAAATTAAAATTATGCCTTGCTATTTATGCTAATACTTTAAAAATTAATCATAAAAAGATTTAGGTATCTAATTTTAGAAAAAATTGCCACAGGGTTGTTGTAAAATGTAAATGTAATATAGATGCCAGTAGATAAATACTAATAATATCAATGAGCTTTAAATTTATTCTAATTTTTGGAATATGAGATGCCACCAGGATTAGCTATGTAATTTGCAGGGCCTAGTGCAATCTGAGAATGTAGGACTTGGTCAAATTTCAACATGGTGACAGCAGATAGTTAAATCAACTGAGGACCTTTTTGAACTGAAAGCCCTGGGTAACTGTACAGGTTATGTGACGCTGAAGCCCTCCCTTACTGAACAGGAGTGAATAAGACTAGATTTATAATTACTTCTTATTTTTCTTTTAATTAAAGTGGGGATTTTGTTTTTAAACAAAATGGCTGTAAACATGACATTTTTCTGAACAGCACGCTTTTTTTTTTTTTTTTTTTAATTTGCTGTAGGGGACATATGTCCCCTGGAGAGATAGCCATGCCACGATCCCTTCTCATTCATCCTCCTCTCTTGGGATTTTAAGCACTTACATACACATGCTCAGTGTGTTTTTCAAGCTGTCAGATCTAGGACTGCAACCCCACAGTTGGCCATGTGAGACCCAGACTCTTATTTTTTTTTTTTTTTTTATTTAATCAAGCATGTTATCATCAATAATATTCCATTTCTACTTTCATACAATATATACATATATATATGTTTTTTATCCTATCTTTGACCCTCTGCCCTTTCCCCCTCTCCCATT